CCCTTTGCCAGGGGTCTGCAACTTTACAACCAAAAGAGCCATTTTTTCTCTTCAGCTCACTAATAAAATGTGTCCAAAGCCGCAAAACATACTTCAATTGTGATTATCATCTGGTGACTTTTAGTTTTTTGACTGTTTAGTTTCCAACCAGTGGGGTGAAATTATACAACTAAATTATATAGTGAATTTGAATATTAGTTTTACAATTTAGAATTAAAAAAGACTGTATTCATGCAAACAAGAAAAATTATATCATTTATACCAAATTTAATAAAAAATGTTTTTATTTGTTATTGTTTTCTAACATATTCCTCATATTTCTTCTCAGCAACTTGTTTTACAGGTATTCCAAAACATCCCTGCTAGATTTGAGAAAAAAAGATCATCGTAATGCTGAAAGTTGGATCAACAGGTTACTTTGATCTAATCATATGTTTCACTCCTTTTATTAGTAGTTTCAAATATTAGCGACTAAATGACCAGGAAAAACTGTCAAAGCTATTCTTTTCTGTTATAGATTTAAAAAACAATACCAAAAACATCAATCTTATGTTAGTTTTAGTCAAAGCTCAAAGAGTCACTGTAAAGGTGGCCCCAGAGCCACAGACAGCAGACCCCTGCCCTATGCCGTGTGCTACCACGGCCAGCCCTGAGTTTATCCCTGCTCATGACAAAATTACAACAGTTTGAATGATGAGAGCCAGGATACAGTTTGCTTTAGATAAACTAACAGGTTTATAGTTTTAAAACAGAGGTTTGTTTCTGTTTGTGTAACAGAAGAGGTGATGCTAAGCTAGGCTATCTTTGCAAGGCACGGAAAGGGGATCCGCTCAGCAGCAAGTTTTGAAAAATGACGGCCACTGATATCTTCTCACTGCTTACAGGCCCCAATCCGATTTTAGAAACACAACTAAGTCTGCATTTTAGTCGCAGATGTGTCAGCATTTCGGGGTCAGGGTCTGCCATGTGGCGTTGCGGCACACAATTCTCCCCTTCCGTTTGTGCTTCATCCACTTTATTAGTACAAGATCTATCCCTACAGGTTAAAACTGTAGCTGCATCCACTCAGACTTAAAAGGATCTGATTTATATCTGTCCAAGACAGGCCAGTGCAACCAAATCTTGCCCAGCTAGCTGCCATATTAGAATAGTAACAGATATTCTATACTATCCCTGACAGCTTCACGTAGAGGTTTTAGTTGGTCTCCTTTGAGGGCTAGTCTGATCTGTCAAATGGGAAATCTATCATGTTGTGCATTTTGTTTGAGTAGTATWAACACCACAACATTATCTAAAATTAGATAACTCCTTGAAGGTTTTGTAGTGTCTCCCAGAGTCAGGACGGAGAGCACAGCAAGTACACGACATGGCGTTACACATTCCAGGCACTTGCCATTACTGGTGTAACCCTACACTAATCCAAGGCCGATCAGTGGTGGAAACAGGACCATCTCACTCGAGACACGCTGCCCTGCACTTACACGACTAATGCGAGACCCAGTCTGCGATGTTTTGATTCCACGTCGGTCTTTTCCCAGTGGATCTCATTATCGGAAGGCTAGTATTTAAAAGTGAACATAAACACAATCCAAAATGTAAACAGAATTGGATTTTTTTCACAATACATTAAATTAATAACTTGAAGGTGCATCATGCCCCCACAAAAGTCTGACTTCTTGGATAACTTTTCAGATGGCAATCGATTGGTCAATTCATGGTGTTGGAAGAGTATAAAAGTACCAGAAGAAAGCATCATTTTGTTTAACAAGGCATAATATCTTTATTTTATACACATAACTTCATCTCCAAAGACTTTGCACAAATCAGTGGGGTATCATGTACCGTAACATATCAAAAGTCTCCCAGAATTCCTTGTTGTTTCCTTAAATCTTCAAACGAGTACATCTGCCTTTCACATCCCCAAATGGTACGAACAATATGACCTACTGAAAATAACTATCTTTTTTGTTTCACTGTCAAACATGATCATATGTGTATTACATTACCAATTACAAACAAAGTTATCTTCATTGTCAAAATACAGGTGTGCAAATTGTTAGAAAAATACCAACTCATACCAGATTCTGGATTGTGCTCTGTAAAAATCCTTACAAATAGTATATAATAATAATAATCTATATATAAATGTCTCCCAACATGCAATGTTGTATTTCAAAAATATCCCACAAACAGGCTGCTCTGTTACACCTTTTTGTCTTCACAATATTTTCAGTAAATATCAGTAGTAAGTTTTCCAGTAGTTCAGCGGAACAGTTTGCGAACATCAAACAAAATTGTTACAGAGAGACAATTCACACCATCCCCTCTGCTATTGCCACTGGTTTATTATCAAATGAAGCAGCTTTAGAAGTGTCACTAGAACCTGATGTGGAGCTCTTGTTATCAAAAATAACAGCTTCATCCAAACCATCAACATATCTGCTAGATCTCCTCCCAACCAGACTGTTTAAAGATGGGTTTCAGTGGATGGATATCTACCACAGGGATTTTAGGATGGTTGTACTGTAATTTACCACTTGTTTAGGAAACTTGATCTCTCTTYGGGATCTTCAACTAATTATAGAACTATATCAAATCTTCCCTTCTTTTCAAAAACTCTTTGAGAAAATAGTTGTGAATCATATGTGAACATCTGGACAAGAATAATCTGTTTGAAGAGTTTCAGTCAGGGTTTAGAGCTCATCAAAGCACAAAAACAGCACTGGTGAAAGTTACTAATGGTATTCATGCCTCAGACAGTGGACTCATGTCCATACYTGTCCTGTTAGATCTCAGTGCTGCATTTGATACAGTTGATCACAATATTCTRTTACAAATTGGACATGATGCTGGGATCACAGGAACGGCCCACAGAACGTTTTAATGTTAGATTTCAGTATTTATTTAATTAATCTTCTTACAACAGAATTACCGTAGTCACGGAGTTCCTCAGAGTTCAGTGCTCGGAGCAGTATTTTTTTTTACTTTATATATGCTTCCAGATAAAATTATTTGACATTTGACAAGTTTTCATTGTTACGCTAATGATACTTGGTAATTTTTATCTGTCAATCCTGATAAATCCAGTTACTCAGACATCAAACATGTCTWAGAGACATAAAAACCTCAATGACTCAATGTTCTGATAATAAATTCAGACAAGGCAGACATATTGTCATGTTTACAACAGAGTATCATTTATATCATTTAACTTTCCCATTAAAAATGTTACCAGGGCCCCTTTCTCTTACTTGCACAGTATTACTAAATGAGAAACATCTTGTTCCAAAATTACTCAGAAAAACTGATCCATGCATTTATCACCTCTAAGATGGCCTATTTATTTTTTATGTCAAGATGCCAAAGAGGAAAAAACAATCTCTAAAAGTGGTTCAAAATGTTGCCACACAAGGAGACATCTTATTTCTCCAATTCTGGCTTTCTGTAAAATTAAATATAATTTAAAATATATATATTTTAAAATAAATCCTATAATTGAGGTTGGCTCGGGTTATCCTGAACTATACTTTTTGCTGATTTAGGCATAGACTTCTGAGACAAACTGACCACATTTCTTCACACAATTGTCTTTATGCTCCAGACTGTCCATGATTGTAWTTATCGTTGTCATTTACCGTGTGTTCTTTGTTTTATGTCTCAGAAACTAGGTCTAACCCCACGATTCCTTTCCACTCAACTCTCGATTGGTCAAGACAAAACACCACCCGTTATGAGCCTGGAGCTGCTGGAGGTTTCTTCCTGTTCTAAAGGAATCATTCCGTTCCACTGTCACCTCCGTGCCTGACCAGGGAAGGGACAAAGTGAGAATTCAACACAATATGCTGGCTTCTTTAGACAATTTTTTTTTTTACGAATCAGCCTTTTTCATTGTGACTATATTGCAATATAATTGGACTGAACCGACTGTGACAGCATTTGAATTTGGGTCTGATTTGGGTTTGTTGGCTTTGTATAGTGCCCTGAGATGACCTTTACTGTGAACCGGTACTAAATAAATAAACTGAACTGAAATAAATCAAACTGGACGAAGAATCCTCTAATGCGCTGCTCATTTTAGATACTGACAATACAGTCAAGCTAATCTCCAAAAAAATAAAATAAAATAAAATAAAAAACAGAACTGCAGCGAATAAAACCTAGATATAGATTTAAGCCCTTTTTCATGATGACCAATGTTCACAAGCACATCAGTTGAACAATGAATACAGAATTATTCTTGGTAGAGGCGACAGTAAATGCCCACCATATAAATAACCACTTTGGAAATCAAAGAAATTCATGCCGTACCTGCAAGAAAGACTACAAGAAGCTGGGGTGAAGCTAATTAAAATGGTGAGATTCAGATGATGACATATTTAATACCCCCCTTCCCTCCCCCTTCCTGCAACAGAGTTAAGACAAACATAGCATCTCCCCCCCTTCTCTTCCATCCTCATCTCTTTGAGGTAAACAGTGGCACTGTTAAAGACTTCTARAAGGCAAATCTTCTCCCTGGAGCCCCATTCCACATGGTCTCAACCTGAACAAACCTCCACTGTCCACCACTATCAGTCTATACACATGCAAGCACTTCTGGGCCTACTCAAGCAGCTCACAGCTGCAGTTTTGCATCTTAGTGTTGTTGTGAAAGCAAATAACTGGACCGACAAATAAAGCGAAAGGGTCTAGGCATGTACAATAAAATATCTTTTCTTTTCATTTCATAAATAAAATAAGACATTTGTTACTTCACTCTCACAGAGCTATATTATTTCTTCTTTTTTTTCAAAAATAAATCAAGTTCCTCACCACAATTTCTGTCGTCAGCCAACGCTTTGTCTCAAATATTCAAATAACGTGTGTCTGACGAAGAGAGAACAAAACAAAAAAAATAGCATTTTTCTTTAGAATAGCAGAACACCATCTCTGGCAAAATATATTATAAGCTTTTGACGAAAAAAAAGAAAAAAAAAGTATTGCACTTTCAGTAACATTGTGTGTAATGTCAAATTACAGCTCATTTGTTAGAAATTAGTAAAATTCAAATAAAAAGGGAAAACAAATTTATTTACCCATTTTATGAAGAGATCTCCACAAGAATGCAGGTAATCAACATTCATAACAACGATGAACAAAAAGCTACGTGAAAACAACAAACAAAAAGAAAAAATGTTAAAACTGTACCATGCACGGGGAGTGTTTCAAAGCAGTGTATCCTGGATTACAATGGACGGAGCTGGAGAGAGCTGCAGGGATGTTTGGGTTTACAGAGTAAGACTGGCTAGTGACCGTGCAAGCACTGACTGCTGGCAACGGCCGCGCACCGTTTTGCTCTCGCAAAGACTGGCTGGAACCTCAGAAAAACCCTCCAAACACCTGAGCCCCCACCCCCGCCCCCCTCCGCAGTCCCTGGCCCACGGGCCGGGCTCACATCTCCCCATCAAAACGTCAGATGGCAAAATAGAAAAGGCAGCTGTTTGCTCCCGTCGTCTAAAAGTTGCATCTCCACCCTCCTCCAGCAGGCTCCGTCAGCCCACTGCAGCGGAGGTGGGCTACAGAGACCTGAGCTTGGGTCAGCACACATGTAGGTTTCAATCACTTCTTTTGTCGTATGTTTGGTTGCATTTAATTTTTTTCTTTTTTTTTTTCTTTTTTAAATTTCACTAGACATGACATTTTACTCCTGCGCATACAGAAGCCAAAAGGAGTGCTAATTGACAGGGCTGGCCCTCGAGAAGGCCAGAAACAGGTTGTAGTGAAGCCTTCCTCCTGATTCTCCTCGGTGTCATGCTGGTTCCTAAACACCTCCGGCCGCCCCCATCTCTCACTGGCGCCATTTTCACTTTCCAAGGCCGGCAATGCAACTGTGCCAGTTGCCATGGTTTCACTGCAACGTAGAACAGTTAGGATTTAATTGGCCCCCCCGTCACATTTCAGATATACATTGTGACACACAGCTGGCACGCAAGTAACAAAATAAGATTCATTACTGGATATATCGGACCATTGAGTTGACAGGCGGTTATGCACCTAAAAGGATWGCATGTGAGTGTATAAATCAACTTACCAAAGAAACAGCATCATCATGTCAGAAAGTGGACAAATATAATTGCAAGGCCAATATTCAACAGCATAACCATAGCAACAAGGATGGAGTTAGGACCCTGCAAAAACAAAAAGCAGCTGGTTAACATAATGCAAAAACTGAAAACAAGTACCAGGAAGTTCATAGTCCTACCTAAGAAATACTTTGGTACACACAGTAACACTATGAGTGTGTCCCAATTCAGGGACTGCAGCCTACTTAGAGCACGGTCCCCAGAGGCCACACCCTGTGCAGTCCAGGTAGGCTGCAGCCACACCATGTGCAGTCCAGGTAGGCTGCAGCCACACCCTGTGCAGTCCAGGTAGGCTGCAGCCAAGGATTTTTTGTTCCTTTCAGCTTTTCAAATTAAACTTGCCATAACCTTTTTGCTACTAAACATATTCAGCTCAGTTTCAGCAGCTTTCAGCTTAAGTTTTCAACAAGTAGCATTCACACTAGCATTTTCGCAGGAAATGCAATTTTCTAGTTGTAATTGCATTTTCTTTAACATTGAGATATTAATTTCTTCAGCTAAATGAATCCAAAACATTCATTTAAAAACAAATTTAGATGAATTTCCAAACTCTGCTGTCTTTGATAGTTTGCTGATGGCACAATGAATCCTGGGATATCCTCAGCTGGGAAGTAAACTCAGACGCAGTCTTCACTTTGGGGATTAAGTGGGCTGCATTTGTCGGCTGCTTGAGGAGTCCAYGAATTGGGACAGCCGTCAGCGCGGGGCAGTGTCGTAAGCGTCCGAAAAATGCGGACTTCAAAAGACRCAGCCCCTGAACCGAGTCACGGCCTTTTTTTTTAAAACAAAGTAGAATTTCTCAGTTAAAAACATTTTTATTGTCGAAGCCACAGTTCTAGTAGGGGTGTCCTGTTTTGTACCAGAATATTTTAACTACTACAGTTTGTGACTGTAAAAATCAAGACAGGGCTTGTGTTATTACTTTAAAACAATATTCAGTCTTAGGAAGATATTGGGCACATTCACGAAACATTTAATTTGACTGATACAAAAAGGACAGACATCATCAGAATGAAGCTGAATGGGCAAAGTGTTTTCTAGCATTTTGGTGTCAAACGGTATTGTATCACTATAATTTCCAGTGAACCAAAAAGGACTCCTTGTTCAATAGACGTGGAATTTTGGATAACTGAATTTAAACCACAGTGCTTAAAGGGATCCATGATTAGTTGTAACATTAGACTTTATTTGATAAACATGTATTTTAACTGTAAAATAAAGACTGTAAAAATACTGTAGGATGTTTAGTTTTTATAATTTTTAAACTAAATTTTTAAAAATATATTACACGGACTGAGCCATTTTATTTACACGCAAAGCATTTTGCGTAAATGATGACATYGATCGAGCGAGCTATATCCACCCTGAAGGTTAATCTTGGCCAATATCTGATGATCGACTCTTTTAAATGAAACCAGAGAGCGTTGACAGAGAGGAGAAGGTAGAAATGACTCAGCCTGTAACAGAAAATATGGATGGAGGACCTTAGTTTAGTTTGTTAGCTTTTCGCGCTAGCGCCAAGCTAATACATAAAAGGATATAGCATCGGTGCTAAAGCTAAAGCTAACAGGCTAAGCTGAGGTTCTTCATCCATGAAGCAGCTCTGTTGTCCTCCATCTATATTTTCAGTTACAGGCTGAGTCATTTCTACCTTCTCCTCTCTGTCAACGCTCTCTGGTTTCATTTAAAAGAGTCGATCATCAGATATTGTACAAGATTAACCTTCAGGGTGGATATAGCTCGCTAGCAGCCTCGCACCGAGGACCTATCCACGTCATTTACCCAGAATGCTTTGCTTGTAAATAAAATGGCTTAGTCCGTGTAATATATTTTTAAAAATTTACAAAACTAAACAGCCTACAGTATTTTTACAGTCTTTATATTACAGTTAAAATATAAGTTTATCAAATAAAGTTTAATGTTACAACTAATCGTGGATCCCTTTAATAAAGTCTAGCAGACCTACCAGATACCCTCATCACAGAAGTCAAGGGCTAAGAAAGGTTTTCCCTTTTTCTTGTCACGTATTTATAGGGTTGCATTAACTGTGCTCACATTATAACTATCTGTAACAATTAACTGGGCCTTACTGCTTCTTCTGCGCTTTCGGCAATCTCCATGCTCGCTTTCTTTGTGTCTGCAAGGCTCTTTGGCTTTAGGGAATCTTGCTTCCTGAGTTTTGGCTCACTCTTGCTGTCCCGAAGAGAGGGTGGTTTAGGAGTAGGGGTGGGGGTGCTGAAGGACCTAGGTTGCGGAGGTAAACGTGCCAGAGCCAGGGCACTGGGCTCTTCGGCTTCCTCAGGTTCTGGAGGTGGAGGACCCCTCGCAGGGGCTTTGACGTAATAACTGTGGTACTCGGAGTGGAGCTGGCCGTTGACTGGAACTGTCGGAGGCTGTGAAGGAGATGCAGTTGCTGTGGTAGGCTGGTGAATTTTAGAGGGTTTAGGCGGAGCCTCGACGTGCGCTTGGGAACTCTTGGGCCCATCAGTGACAGTCACCCTCTCTTCTTTACTAATCTTCCTGCTAGAACGCTCTTCCTTGCTGGGCTTAAAACTTGACTTCTCTTCCTTGCTTATTTTACGGGACAATTTTTCTTCTTTGACGGCTTTGTGGCTGATGCTGTTGCCAATCTGGCTTATCTTCTTGCTAGTCTCGGGTGACGGAGGAGGTGTAGCTGCGGGGCTGGCCACGGGGGAGTGGGGTGGAGTGGTGCCTTTACGGTAAAAGTGGGGAGAATCATGTGGGGAGTTGTCTTTCTTTTCAACAGGAACCTCTTTAATTTCCACCGGCTCTTTCAGCTGTTGTCTAATGTAGTCGGGTCCTAAAGAAATGAAGCAAATGACACACATTAGCATGGCAAAAAAGAACAAACAAAACCAAATATTTCCTTTTCTGAAACGGAAGTTAGCATATGTGTACCCATTTATTCACTGAAACGATTATGCAAATGTTAAAATCTAAGAAGTCCAAGTATGTCCAGTCATATACTGGTGTAAATAGTCTTATTGTGGAATCTTTGGGCCCTTCATTTCTCATAAGCCCTGAGTACTTTTCAGCTTCGTGGTATTTGTAATTTGTTTCTGAACCACCACAAACAATGAGACCCACTACAAAGAGACAGGGGATATGTAAACATCTGTGGGATTTAACATATCTGCCCAGCTTAACTTCACACCGTAGCTCTCTGTAAGAGTTAGGGACTGTGTAATTTCACTCTGTTTGGGAACAGATTCTTGCGAGAGGTTCCAGGCATTTTTTAAATTGTTCCCGGCACTTAAATGATCCCCTGCCTCAAACTCATGCAGGGCYGAAATGCTGGCGGTCATTAAAAGAAAAAAAAAAGACGTCCACTCCACTTCTGCAGCCCTGCTAGATTCCACCCTAATGAAAAATGATGCACTTGCACACACAAAACACTTTAGAATAAGGGTTATATGTTAGTTTTATAGCTATCTGATCATGTGTAGATACAGTTGATGAGTGAAAGATTTAGTGGATGTTCTCAACCAGCATATCTTGCCAAGTCAAATGGAACATGTACCGGTACTCAGTGACCCAAACGGCTGTGGTGTTTCTTTCATCTGAACATAAACTGGGCTGAGTCGGCAGCCTTCTAAAGACGAATGTAAATGGAGGCCATACTAGTCTTGACCGCAACATAAATACAAAAAACTAAAACCAATAAAAGGACGAGTTTCATCAATTTATAAACTGCTTTTTTGTTCATTCACAAAATTTTAAATTATAAACCCTATTTTTGTTTTACAGAAAAGAGCTCTAAGAATTATTGCTAGAAAACACTACAGTCACCCATCAAATATATTATTTTATCAGTTGAAATTATTGAAG